TTTGAACTAGATGGTGGGGGCTTCTGGACCCCGGCCGCCCCCCAAATTGACTATCCTCATCTCAAAAACCCCGAAGCTTCGGCGGATGAACGAACTCGGCAGAAGCGTCTGCAGCTTCTTCTTCTCCTCTACCTTACCCTTGCCCTCAGTGTATCATGGGTGGGGTTTCGCTTCCAGGTAGCAGGACTTGTAGGTAATTCCCTATTCTTCTTGCCTCATTTAGTCCCAAAATTGCTTGGAGGAATCCCGAACCCCATACCCAAGGATGGCACTAGTGCTCGTTCCCTTGACCGGTCCTCGCTTTCCTCCTTTTCCTCCGCCCCTCGTTCCCTTCCCTCTGCCAGGTATTAAATGGTACTTTTACACTCCAAATAAAATGATAAAAGTGACAACCCAATGAACGGATATCAATGGTCATGCCTTTCTCGGTGATGGATAGCTAAATTTGGCCAATACATTACCTCTTCTCTCTCAATGGTCATGCCTCTCACTTCTCCCCTCACTAAAGTGTTTAAGGCAAAAAATGGAGACAGTGGGGTTTGAACCCACGACCTTCCGCATGCAAAGCGGACGTGATCCCACTACACCATATCCCCGATCTTAAATTATTTATTTCTAGATTATTATTAACAGAAGTTGATGACCACGATAAAATAAATAATGATATAATTTATTAGTTACAATCATAATAGCGAGAATAATAACGATTATCTATAGAAACCCTTCCTCCTTTGCTTCCCATCCTTTTCCTCCTAGTGATCATTTATGCGGGCTCTGCCCACACTGTATGGGCTGTTAATTTATAATATATGCCAAATCGGTAAGAAAATAAACACTGCAGTTCACCTAGTAAGAGACGCTGATAGCAAATTAAAACGGCCTAACCAACTAAAATGACCCTAAGCACATTGTGGAAAGGGCGCATCTTTATAAAGATACTGTACACAGTAAAGTCATTAGACGGCATGTGTTGCTAGGATTAGAGGTGTGATGCCTAGAAAAAAAATGGAAAGATGAGGGACAGGAGATAGGTTTAGATCCTTTAAAGATAGACAGATCAAAGAATCCATTTACTAGAACGATCGTCAGACTTGCTTTTGAAATGAGAAGTCATCCAAGAAAATTAATTCTCGTTAAATGTAGACATTCTAGATAAACGTTTCAGACACGTGTAATCGTTAAATTGCTCTACATCAGAAAACCTTTTTGCTGCTCACCTATTCTTCTCGTATAGTAAGGTCCCTAATAATAGCCTAAGACTAGGGAAAATGTACCATAGATTTAAATATGGGTGCAATGAAGAACAAAAGTCGCTGACCAGTAACTTATAACGTAACGGGAAGCGATCCACATGGAAACTGAAAAGATGACTGCTAAGTTCACGAGTATATTTTAGTCAGAGGTCCCTGAAAAATGCTCGATTTCTTGAAAGATAGAAATGAAAAGAGCAAGTCGGTGATTTCGGACAATGGGGGTCCATCAAAGCAGATTCTTACTGACGCAGGTCCCGCGACCATTCTTCTTCGCTCCTGGAAACGCGCATGCAAAGCCAGTACCATCATCGTCAAAGTAGTTAAGGCACTTCGAATCATCGTCACAGGAATCTCTTCCAGGAGGGCCAGAGTAGTAGGAGTATACTCCCGCCTTTTCCTCATCGCCAGGGGTGGGAACAGCAGCAACAATCAAAGGCATGGCCAGCATGACGGAGACGCACAGGATGGATACGAACTTCATAGTGAAATGAAAGTAGAAGAATGGATCGCTCAGCGAGGAGAATGAAAAGATGGGGATAAAGCTGATGCTTTTTGAAGGATGAGGCTGGAAGGGCTGGATGATGTATAAGATGAGAACGATGGGATGGGAGGGAAAGTGCTTTGGCCTAGACTCTATTTATGCCTTTTGGAACGGATGAATAAGGCGATGTTCTCAATGGAATCACTGTCGTCCGTCATTCATCACTTCTCTCCCTTTGACCTTCAAAAGTCTTGGCAAAGGAATGGATACTTACACTGAACCTCCTTCCCTACTCCATTATCGCGCATTCTGCCTTATTCTTGGTGTATTATTGACTGAGGTTTCCAATGGGACCAATCATGCCTGTCCTATCTCGAGTAGGACTTCTCTTACAACATGGAATCATCCTAGCAAGTAACTTGTACCACACCCTTTCCGCACCTCCGTCCAGTGCTCAAACAGGGATGGAATGATGGGTTGTCCAAATGTTTTACGTAGATGTAAAGCATTTTATATTCACCAATTTCTGGTCGTCCAAGGGTTCGCGCTTCTTGAGCGGGAAGAGGTGATTCGACTAGACAAGACACAAGAAACCCAAGATGATGTTTGTCACTGAAAAGCGGACTAATGGAAAAACACAAACACACGTTCAAAGGACACACATAGTCGTAGTCGATGTTTCGAAAGAAGGTACGAGAGACGCTGATCGGAGATGGCGTTTCATAGGAAGAAGGGTATAACCTGTGCGAGGCAAGCGGTTACGGGATGCCCTGGCCCAAATGTAGATGAGGATGAGAAGAGAGGCAGTCAGCGCGGTTAGGCCGATCAGATGGGCCCACAGGGGGTGCCGAGGAGTGTACTTGGTAGAGCTAGGAGAAACAAGGATGATTGCATCATCAGCGGCCAGGATAGTGCATGCAAGGAAAGGGAGGACGTAAAGAGCACGTTTCTTGGCCAGCACAAGTTGCGCCAATAAGGCCAAAGCCACGGAGATGTGGATGATAAAGTGGGAGACGACGTAGAGGGAGGGCATGGAAGGATGCAGGAGAGGGAGGATACGGGGGAGGAGGGAGGGAGAAGGCGGTTTTCGTCAAAAAGGATAGTTGAAGGGTTGATTGTGCTTGGCGTTGGGAACGTGTGAGGAGTGAAGAGGGAGCGAGATAGAGAGGAAGAGCGAGGATCAAAAAGAGGCGGATGGTGGTTAAAGGTCGTGTCAGCAGGGGGATGAAGAAGAGTGGAGCGGTAGGGAAGGAAGTGGAAGATAACGAAAATGAGAGAGGAAGGGAAAGAAGGAAGAGAAAAAAGACCCAGCGTGTTTTTAGCCTGGACCAAAATCCAAGTGGTATAAAGCGTTAGGATGGAACCATTTCAGCCTCCGACTCTTGTTCATTGGTTGCCCGTGCATCGGAGATGACAGCGGGGTCATCCGAGATTTTTTTGTCGTGGCATACAATGACTTTATGGAAAAAGTGTGCTCTATGTAAGGAAGCCAGTCAGGTTAATGGAGCTTATTCCAATATTTTATGACAATACCGTAAAAGGCAGGCGGCGTCAAGTAAAAATCATCAGTATTTTTTCTCTTATCCTCCTTTCCCCATTACGCCTTATTCCAGGGCTCGACAAAGTGGGCTCCGGAAGGAAGAAATCGTTTCATGGCCTCAGTACCGACCGCTGATGCCTCAAAATCGTCCAGGATCCCACGGGCCACCTTGCCCTTCTTGCCCTTTTGGATAGGGGCCGAGGTGATGTCGAGGCTTTGGCCGAAGAACATACTTTTCTCAGTCTCTATTTTCTTGATGTCCTCGGCCGTCGCTTGGGGGGTCTGAATGGGGTTAGATTGGGTGGAGGGTAGATACCGCTTCTTCAAAAAGATCCCCAAAAGTGACTGGCTGGAAGATTCATCCTCCCCATCCTCAACGATGCCTCCATCCTCTCCAAAGCGCACATGCTGAACTCGTTGAATTTTTCGTCCTGCAGCCTTATCCTCCCTTTCGACCTCATCCGTGCCATCGCCCTTGCGCTTTCGGCCCAGACTAGCCAGGGCTTCGGATTCAGCGTGCTGGATGAGTAGAGCCAGGTCGGAAGCGTGCATCCGGACCACCGGAGGCGTGGGGATGCAGCAAGCAATGACACCAGCCTGGTCCACTGGACACCTTTCGGCAAGGGAGAAGAGCTGATGGTTGGGAAGGACATATCTCACACTCTCATCCTCGTCCCGGGCCACTTGGTCTCTCCAGGCATGGACGGCCTTAAAGACAGCCATTTGAGCCCCATCCAAAGGACGTTCCCATCGCTCGAGCAGCTTACCCCACCCGCCCTTGTCTCGACCACGAATGGCATCATAAATGGGCTTTTCATACTTGCGTAGGGAGGTGTTGTTGCTTCGTTTCAGGACATCACGCATCCATTGGGTTGGGTCAATCTCAGCACCCTCCTCCTCCTCCTCCTTCTTTTCCCCTTCCTCCTGCATGGATGGTCCAGCCAGGAGCTCATTCCTCAAAAGGTCAAAAATGTAAAGGAGGTAGTGGGTGTCGGCCTGGGCGTACTGAAGCATCTCCTGAGGGATGGGTCGGATACGCCAGTCGGCCAGCTGGTACTTCTTATCGGCATTGACATTGGCGTATTTAAGCAAAAGAGAGGCCAGACTATGGGAGGGAAAGGAGAGGACCTTGGTGGCATGGTAGGTATCAAAGAGATTGACAACATAGACACCAAAGTCCCGTTGGAGCCACTCAATATCCATGGTGGCTCCATGGAAGACCTTGACGATGGAGGGGTCGGTAAAAGCCTGATTAAGGAGGTGTAGATGGGGTCGAAGGACTAAAGCATCTAAGAGGAAATCTTCCTTACGAGTGGAAATCTGGATGAGACAGGTGAAGCCCTGGTAGGAACGCATGTCGTGGGCCTCTAGATCTACAGCAATCTCGCTCTGCCCCTCAAGTTTACGCGTTACCACCTTCAGAGCCTCAAGGGTATCAATCCATTGGGCGGGGGTTTTGTCGAAGGGCAGGAAGGGCTGAGGGGTGTGTGGGGTAAAGAGGGAAGCTGGGTGCTCCAGCTGGGCAATCTCATACGCATAGGGATGGGGAAGGGAGACAAGGTGATCGGCGATCCCTAAGCTCTGATGATGCGAGTCCCACTCCTCATCTCCAGAATTGGCCGCGGAAGGTGTCCCATTGGAGAGGGGAACCAGGGCATTAGGTTTATCTTGGATTTTTCTTTGGAAGGGCGCTAAGGAGTTATCCACACGGTCTGGGAAGGTCAGCTGTGGCCTGGGGATGTTGCTCGAATGCATGACCTTGTACCCTACCTTGGACTGAGAGCGGGTGTCGTGTTAGGGCTTTTAAAGTGAGAATTAAAGAAGAATAGGTATGGCTTACCACATGGGTGACCTGAGGGGTAGATTGGGTGACTACGGAGGCAGAGGACCCTTGGTTATCCCGGCCCTTGGCCTGATCCATGCAAATGTCGGCCTTTTCTAACAGGGAGTCTACCACATCCTCCATCCTCTCCCACTGCTCCTCTACATCCACTTCGGTCACCTTGTCAGCCTTATCTGAGCTTTGATTAGGGATTTCCCCGTTAGCCACAGCGACAAGGCGCTGGGTCAAAGAGTGAATGTCACCCGAGAGAGAATCGAGCTGAGAAACAAAGTTTTCTGGGGCGATGGAGCGGTAAAAAGCCAGATCGGCGGCTGAGGGTAGCTTGGCCGACTGGGTGGCCACCTGGGTGAGACACGAGGTAAGGCGAGCCGTATACTCTTCCAGATCCTTGCCGTCTTGGAAAGGCATCTTGATCGGAGCGTTGGTATCTGATGGCATGGAGGGAAAGGGAAAAAAAAGAAAAACAACGTTTCGAACGC